CCACCGGGCATACCACCGGGCATTCCACCCGGAGCACCGCCAGCGGCTGCATACATCTTCTGCAAAATTGGATTGGCCACACCCTCCAACTCTTTCTGCTTTCCCTCGTACTCCTCTTTCTCCGACGACTGATTCGCGTCCAGCCAATTAATGGTCTCAGTCACCTTGTCCTCAATCGCCTTCTTGTCATCCTCCGAGATCTGGTCCTTCAGCTTCTCGTCGTTAAGCGTGTTGCGAAGGTTATACGCGTAATTCTCGAGCGCATTCTTAGCCTCAATGCGCACCTTATTCGCCTCATCTTCGGACTTGTACTTCTCAGCTTCTGACACCATGCGGTCAATGTCAGCTTGCGACAGACGGCCCTTATCATTCGTAATCGTGATCTTGTTCTCCTTGCCCGTCGACTTCTCCACTGCTGACACGTTCAAAATGCCGTTCGCATCAATGTCGAACGTCACATCAATTTGTGGCACGCCGCGAGGCATGGGTGGAATGCCGTCTAGATTGAACTTACCCAGCAGGTTGTTGTCACGCGTCATGGAGCGCTCGCCCTCGAACACCTGGATGAGCACACCCGGCTGGTTGTCCGCATACGTTGAAAACGTCTGCGACTTCTTGGTCGGTACCGTCGTATTACGTGCGATCAGCGTCGTCATAACACCACCGGCCGTCTCCAGACCCAGCGACAACGGTGTCACGTCTAGCAGCAGCAAATCCTGCAGCTTCTCCGACGAGTCATTACCGCTCAGAATAGCTGCCTGGACGGTAGCACCGTATGCAACAGCCTCATCAGGGTTAATCGACTTGTTGGGCTCTTTGCCGTTGAAAAAGTCTGACAGCAGCTGCTGAACCTTGGGAATACGCGTGGAGCCACCAACAAGCACCACTTCATGCACCTGACTCTTGGACAACTTGGCATCGCGCAACACTTTTTCCACGGGCTCCATCGTCTTGCGGAAGTAGTCACCACACATGTCTTCGAAACGCGCGCGCGTAATGGTAGAGTTGAAGTCGATACCATCAAATAGTGAGTCGATCTCAATGTACGCCTGCGCCGACGACGACAGCGTCCGCTTAGCGCGCTCGCACGCTGTGCGCAGTCGACGGAGCGCACGCTGGTTCTGCGTCATGTCTTTGCGGTGCTTACGCTTAAACTCCTGCGTAAAGTGGTCCACGAGGCGGTTGTCGAAATCCTCACCGCCCAAGTGCGTGTCACCAGCAGTGGCTTTCACCTCGAAAATACCCTCCTCAATGCTCAGTAGCGACACATCAAAGGTACCACCACCAAGATCAAAGATCAACACGTTACGTTCACCGCCCTTTTTGTCCAGACCGTATGCAATAGCGGCAGCTGTTGGCTCGTTAATGATACGGAGCACATTGAGTCCAGCAATCGCACCTGCATCTTTAGTAGCTTGGCGTTGCGAGTCGTTGAAATAGGCTGGCACTGTAATTACAGCATTCTTTACCTCCTTACCGATAAAAGCCTCAGCCACCTCACGCATCTTGATCAACACCATGGACGAGATCTCTTCAGGCTGAAACGTCTTGGACTCGCCCTTAAATTGCACAGTAATCTGTGGTTTGTCGCCGGCACCAGCCGTTACCTTGAATGGCCAGTGTTTAATGTCTGCTTGCACGATCGGATCCGAGAACTTGCGGCCAATAAGGCGTTTGGCATCAAATACCGTGTTGTGGGCGTTCATGGCCACTTGGTTCTTGGCAGCATCACCGATGAGACGCTCCGAGTCCGTAAATGCCACATACGACGGTGTTGTGCGATTGCCCTGATCATTAGCAATGATCTCGACGCGGTCGTTTTGCCACACACCGACACAGGAGTAGGTCGTACCGAGATCGATACCCACCGAGTAGCCAGAGACAGTTTGAGCCATTTTATTCGATTGCTTGTTACTTGCTTGAGGTTATCTTGTTTTCTCCACAAAGAAAATTGAAAAATGAGTTATTATTACAATAAGGGAATGACCGAAAGATGACTGGAAGATCGTCGGGATAGGGTGTGGAGTCGAGTGGGAGGTTAGAGTGAGCCATGACACCTGCACTAACATTGCAAAACGTTCGAGACAATTCCTTTTTAGCGGCCAAAATGGATCGTAATGGATGCGGATTGGTCAAAAAGTATCAACACATCACTCACTCCTTTGACTCAATATTTGTAAGTTTGTCGAAAGTTCTGGAAGCAAATGCACAACAAAACGAATATGTTTGCGTAATGTAGCCATCTCCTGAGACGGAGAAAAAATACTGGGTGGCATACCTCTTAACCCTAACTCGGAGGAGATGTGCCTTTGCAGCACATTTTTAGCATTGATTACAAAGATTATAAACTATCTACTCAACATTAAATTGGCTTGATGTAGCAAGCAAAACATATGAAACTAACAAACTAGTTGCAGGTTGCCAGAGATGGCTGATAACATAATGTTACTACAAAGTATCCCCGCTTTTTCATACGAAGCTTGTTCTTTTTTCATCATCCGGCGCAAGCACAAGCCACAATTTGTATCGAGCGAGCACCGGTCTATTGTCGACGCTGATTGAGACATAAAATTAAGCACCACACTGTAATACTTCATTACACTTGTGCGCACATTTAGATGCAGGTTTGAGTCCTCAATTAGACTTGGTGCCTCTACGGCAATTGATTACAACCTGATTGGTAGTTCTAGAATTGCCTTCTCTACTGTAGCACTTCGCAAAATTGGCACAGCAAAATTGCGTGAAAAGGCTGTTGTACGTTCTCACGTAAGTTTTGAGCTCGTCAGTAATTAATGAGCTGAAAAAAGACACGAATCGATTTGAATTTGTTATGGGACGAATGCTGAAGATCCTGGTACCTTACGTGCGCAACGGGATGATCTATGTAGTATATTTTGTTACACAGTTTAATGAAATTCTGGCAATATTGTCGCTATGCTAACATTGAACTATTGTGTAACATTCTTCTGGGGTTTTCATGAACTATGACAAATAACCATTTCCTCCTAGCATTATGCGTGTGAATTAGGGAAAGTAAAAGTGTTGTGGTTGCAGTTAGATAGATATAGATCGCTTCAGTTGTCTGATAATCTGGATGTAAAGGAAAGTTTTCGTTTTGTCAGTCGACCACACAACGTACCTACAACTCACAAACAGTCACGGCGCGTAGCTCAACATTTGTTCAGATCCTGATCCGCTGCATCTATCTTAGCATGTTCGTGCGCTCTTTGTCCTCATACCACCACTTTCCATAGGTACGCAAGATATCCTAGTCTAACAATGAATGCACTTGACGCGTGACATAAGGATCATGTCAAGAAAGCAAAATCGATGCGATTCTCTGGTGCGCGTGAACGGGGCACTGCTAGCTAGGATGTATCCTAACATGACATCTACTAACGCCCATCCACGCACTCGTCAATTCATTAAATCATATGTACTCTTCTTGCTGAGAAGTAGAAGATATGGGGAACGCAGTACAATCTTCGAAGCGAAAATTGTGTATAGTATATTGTTTCTGCTTGGTTGCGCGTAGCAAGCGTCAAAGTGCCAATACGATTTAGCGCACCACTACGAGATGTTGATGTGTGAATGAAAACCATTAAGGTTGAATTTATGAGGTACCATGACTATGCTAAATTTTTGATAGACTTGATCGGCCAAACTATTGATGTTTTATTGCGTAGCGCTTTCGCCATACTTTTCAATCAGCTGCTCCAGCGTCGGGTCCAGAAAATTGGATAGAGGGACACAAAGGATGGACCGTGTAAGAAATTCGGCATCATTCTCTTTCATCAGGGGGGTCGCTTCCCTCACTTTCACAAGATCAATCCAAAGACGCCTTTTCTCGAAGACGACACATTTGGCACGCGGGGACTGCCGTGAACCAGGCCAACCTTGTGGAGCTGCCATAATAGTTCAAAACGGTCTAGTACTTCCTCTCGTGTCGTCGGTTGAGGCATCGTTTTCCCAACAGGAAATAGCAATAACGCCGCGTTTTCAGGAGTTGCAATGAGGCTTTCCACTAGACGAATCGTTAAGCCTGTATGCTGGACTTTTTTCAAAGTCATTTTCTCCTTTTAAAATAGTCGATCATTCCTGAAAGCTTTTAGAGCAAAAGCCTTTCCATCTTGCCCAGTTACCTTAAAAACACTTCCATGCGCGCCGCGGCCGAGAAATGCATCGCCCTCCATCACATCAACGCCTAATGATGAGCAGACTTAGCTTAAGCGTGCCACCAATGGAGACATGTTGTTTGAGATAAAATTCTAAAAAAATTTGGAGCCCTTCTCAACCCAATTTGCTTTCTTGACCTCATGAGGAGCATAGTTGTGGCCTGTGATCAACCAAAACGAGCGCCGATCAAAGAGAACAGCGCTTCCAATCTTTTAAATCCAGAGCTTTGCAGATAACGCACCACTTGTCCGAACGCAGTGTCAGTTATAGTGAGCTTGCTTTCACACAAAATGATGCAGTCGAATAGTTCTTCCTCTGCTACTCCAAATCGAAAGCCATTTGGGCGCTGCACTCCATCTTTCGGTGTTGGCTTGACACAAAACATTCCACGGTGAATCGCAAATCCATCCGTTTGAGGTCTATCCTCTCCATCACAAGTGGTGATGGAAACAACCATCGATAACTCGCACAATTGACAAATACCATACCACACCTGTGTATCACGTTGCTGATAAATGGAGTAAAAAATGCGTTAATACAGCCTTATCGCTGATGGTATTGGCTTGAGTCTGAATTTTCTCCGACCAAAATGCTTCTGCGCTCATCAATGGTGCAAAATCAATGACCCTTCGTCGTTTTAGCAGTCTTGAAATCTCAAGTTCACCCACTATCCTATTAGAATAGGACATCATATTTTGTTTCCGATAACGGGCTACAGCATGCACCAGAGCGTCATGTACCACATTGATTCGATTCAATACTGAATCGAGCAAGTTAGTTATCACCTCGCCACTGTTGTTTCCACTTTGGAACTACAACTAGCACGTGAACCTGCTGATACGATGGAGGATCCATTCCGATCAGCACGACCTCAAGTGGATCTTCTTCCTATAGTTTTTGATCTTCCTTCGTCAGCGATTCAATGGTAGCAGTTGGCACACCGACAATTGCACAAGAAAGCTTTATCATCTTTCGTTGAATCTGCAAATTCTTGAATGACTGAACGGAGAGAAATTTCGGTATCGTACCAAAGTGAAAACGAACCCATGGTCAAAATGTGTAGAAATAAAATGACATAACTTTGATTAACAGATAAGAGCCTGCAACAGATGCTACACGTCAAATCTAGCGCAAAGATAGAGCTCAAATTGGAAAAAGTCGCTGAAAAATATGATGCACATGCCTATCTCGTAATTCGACCGTTGAGTTCATAAGTGGCACGTATATTCAATTAGTAAAAGTAAGTGTCGCTAACCCAGTGATCGTCTGGAAGCTTGCTTACGTTGTGCGCTAGTCCTGGTCATATTTTCACTAACTTTGAGGACTGTGTCCAAGCCATTTCCTGTGTCATTGGAAAACATTATATTGATAAGTCATAACCTTCGAGTCAGCAAAAAATTAACCACCGCACTACGATCTGCTGAGATCTAGCCCTACTCTATTGATCGTTCAGAATTGACCATTGTTAGCAATTCTTGGCATATTGTTTGACAGGAACAATCATCTGGAGGCCATTAAGTTGTAAGTCTCAGGTACGAGCCATCAAAACTTAATCTCACCGCTGCAAGAAACTACTTCATGTCATCCACCTCTACCAGGAGTAAAAAGCATTTTGTTTGTATACATTTTAGACATTGTGTATGCATTGTTTTCCCATCAGCTTTCCAAACGATGCTTGTCAATCGCAGCCATCGACGACGATTTCCGTGTGGATGTAGCCGCCACAGCTAAATGCAGGCTTACAAAACGTATCGCTATCCGATAGAATGAGCCTTGCCCTCAAGATAAGGTATCATGTGTTGTATCAAGGATGCTTTTAGACAGCACCGGAGGTGCATATGGACGCTGAAGGCGTACCAGGAGGTTGATCTGACACCGAAGATTGGCTTGAGGATGCTCAATCACCGCTAAGCGATCAGAGGTCTCAGACTAATAACGCTCAAAGGATCGACGGTGTCGATCGACACGCTCATCGATCGATGACAATTGAGACGTTGCCGGTCTAGGAGCACCACGCTACAGGATTATCAGGCGACGCTCGATCTCAGGAAAAGTCGCCATAGGCGTAGCTATACTAAGCGAGGGCTCACCCTTTGACACGTTTCACACGTGCGTACATATGTACCAACCCATTTATACAAAGTGGGCCACCAATAATGGGTGCTCCCCGAGCTATAGGTATTCTCACGACTAAATGACCAACAAGTGATGTATACATGAGCCTCATACAGTATCTGATACTTGAGGTCCTCATCATGAGACATCACAACACGAGGTTGGTCATCCGGCCCTGTACTATAGTACAACAGACCATCGGTCAGTGCATAACGATGTAATCCCGCACGTTTACGTGGTGACAGCTTCACCTCAGAGTTTACAAATTCTACGCTTCCTAGCGCCAGCAGAATGGCAGCACATGCCTCATCGCGTGCATATGCCACACGGATACGATCCGTTACTGACGAACTCACAACAGTGAGATGAGCAAGCTCATAGTCAGGTCTACGCGATAACGCGTCAGCCAAAACATTCTGTTTTCCCGGCTTATACTACACCTCGAAGTTATACTCCGCGAAAAAGGAGAGCCAATGAGCCATTCTCTGCGAGAGATGAGGCGACTGTGTCGCTGTGCCTAACGACCCATGATCGGTATAGATCACAAACGGCTTTGAGCCCAACAGGTGTACCTTGAACTTAACAAGGGCATACTTCATCGCAAGTACTTCGTTATCATGAACTGGATAGTTCTTCTCTGCAGTTTCAGCTGGCGAGACTCAAACGCGATGACGCGTTCTCGACTCTCAGAGCCGACTTGCAAAAGTGCACTGCCAATGGCAAAGTCTGAAGCATCACATACGACGCTAAACGGGCGATCAGGATCACGTAGAGCCAGAATTGTCGCCGGCAGGAGACTCTCCTCAATGGCTTCAAAAGCCTCGTGATGCTCGGTGTTCTAACACCATTCCACATCCTTTCTATGGAGATTCGACAATGGCCTAGCCACTTTCGCATAGTTGTGGCTATACTTATGCATGTAATTATCCATATTCAACCACTTGCGGAGGTCCTTTTGGTTTCTCGGAACTGGCCAATGCACTATGGCTTTGACCTTAACAGGATCCGCCCGGATTCCTCGCTTCCCAATGAAGCATCTCAAAAAGGGAATCTCTTCCGCACCGAAGATGCATTTTTCAATATATTGGCATATTACTTATGCATCCTCATGCAACCGAGCACAGTTCGCAGGTGTTCGATGTGATTCTATACATCAATATTGCCATTTTCGGCGCGACTATGAACGAATATATCGTCAAAGTATGTCTCTGCATACGCTCTGTGGGGCCGAAACAACTGCGTCACCAGACGATTGAACGTTGCAGGTACGTTAGACAGCCCTTGGGGCATCACTAACCACTACCAGAGCATACCGGTCGGAGTGCTGACCGCCGTCAGCGGGATATCACTAGCTCGCATGAGCAGTTGGTAATATCCATCGACCAAGTCGAGGGCACTGTACATTGTACATTCCACCATATTGTTCTGAAGAACATCCTTGTGAGAAATCGGTGTTTGAGCCGAGATAGTGGTTGCATTCAGCTTATTGTGAGCATACACTATTCGCCACTTCCCATTTGGCTTCCTCACACAAAACGTGGGCGTAGAGTGAGGAGACTTACTCCCACGCACCATGCCAGCCGCGTGATTTGCACGAAGAACTCGTCAATGAAGTCACATTGTTCTCGTGGCAGCGGCCACTGTCGCGTCACACAGTATTTGGTTCCTGGAACAAAGTCAATTTCATGACGTACACCTCTATCCGAAGGTAACCTCGTAGGAGTTTCTCTGAATACAAATCTCCATATTCCTTCAACAAAGGAAAGTAAGGATCCGAAGGGTCCTTCAGAATCTTGTTTAATCCTTATTATGATGCTAAAAAAGGTTTTGATGCAAAAATTTTATTTAGTAGCTATTCTCCTGCAATCCACTACGCGCATTTAGCGCCTTCTTGGTATTCGCAAGAACTGATTTAGCCAAAAGCGATGAGGAGTTTAACTCCTCCTCAGGTCTTATAACGACCACTTCGGCGATTTTCGTCTGCCTGTAAGGCAATGCCAAACTCGGCAGGACAACTCGTCCAGATCTAACTGAACGCTTACTGCGGGTATATCTGAAAGAGCCACCGGCTCTTCAACATCCCTATTCAAACCATTGACGAGTGTATACAGCTGTTCGCTATCACCGTCACTCACGATATCATCATCTCTACTCATGATGCTCTCAGCATCTGACACATCATCGTCCACAAGTGTGCACACCTCAAGGTCAAAGACCACCTCGTTTACTGACTGCACCCACCCTCTTGGGTCAATGTCTCGTCATGAGGTACTCGCACCTCTTGTCCTCAAAGACAACTGTCATTTTTGACTTCACCCGACCCTCTTGGGCCAGTACCTCGTCACTAAGTGCTGGCACCTCGTTATCCTCAAAGATAACATCCATTTGTGACTTCACCCGACCCTCTTGGGTCAGTACCTCGTCGTTAGGTGCATGCACCTCGTTGTCCTCAAAGGCAGCATCCATTTGTGACTTCACCCGGCCCTCCAGGGTCAGTTCCTCGTCACCCATGTCACTCGGACTCGTGTCCTGACATCTTGTCTTGCAGCCACCAACACCACTCACGGTGTTTAATGATGTAACATCATTCGCATGAAACATGTCATATGTGCCATCGAGTGGGTTCTCAACCACACTATCGACAGTCATTGGACCTCGCCCAGGACTATTGTCCTCGACACTTACGTTGTCTACAAAGTCGTATATTCCGACATCCAACGTATTGACCGACTCTGTCCAATATCCGCGCCAAAAGCGCTTTTGCTTCCTAGCAGAGATGGTTCATGAATCTCTAGAGCCCACCAGGAGCATTGCGCGTTGCGCCTAAGGTATTCGACTCCCATCAATTCATGGCTCTTGACGTTCTAGCCATGTCATGCCTAGGATGAGGTCATACCTTGCATCCAGGTCTAAGATCAAACAGCGTTCCATGCTGTTAAAGTCCAAGAACTTTACATTTAAGTCCATCGGGACTTTGAGTACCGTAACACGCGTACCCGTTGCTAAGCGAGTCATGGCTGTGTCACTTTCACGCGCTACAAGCGCTTCAGCATACTGCTGACTACCTTCCACGGTGGCACGGCGCACATAATTGCCCGATGCCTCCGAATCGATCAAAATGATTCATGGCTTATCAACGCCCATAATCATCCATTCGACGACTAGCAATCCTGGCTTGCATTCTCGTTCCGTTTTTGAGATTTCGGGTCTCTTTGGGGCTGGGGCCTGTTACTTCTACCCTCCTAGAGGTTCAACAGAACTCAGTTCTTCCCCAGTAGGGCACCCCGCGCCTACTGGGTTCCGCCGTTTCCCCGCGGCAAACTAGAGGTTTACCCATGCGGCGTCGGCCCTTTCAGGCCAAATATGACTTTCTTGCAGATCATTTTGCCATCCAATGGCCTGTGCTCTTGCAGATATAACATCTGTGCACAATTTGCTGCTCCGCAGCATGAATCTCAGCTTCATCATCTTCCTCTTGACTACAGTCCATGGGAATAGACCCATCAGACGAGTAGGTATAAGTGGCAGGCCTATCGGCCTTAAAGTTGGTCTCGGCATTCTATCCGCCACTCCAACAGCTATCTCGAATGAGGACGCGTTTACCCGGAAGACTTCCGTTCTGGCAACGCCAACTCGGAGGCCTTGCATGAAGACCATGACGGCCACTACCTCAGGGAGGGTCTATGACCATGGCGGCAATAAGAGTTCTCAACTCTTGCACACATGTCGCAAGCTCATGCTTACCATAATGAATGCCCATTGCTTGGCTAATCTACCCAACTTTTCCGTGGCAAAGCTAACATAGTACGGCTCATAGGTGATGTCGGAATCACAGCATAAGTTTATCCCCTTCTTTACCGCCGAACTTTTCGACTTCCATATGAATGGGTTTTGGTCTGCAATCCACTCTTGCGCCATAGTCGCCATGGACGAAGGCGCAGAAGAAGACATCTGTGTCTGTACATGCTCGACTAGAGCTTTGTTATATTCACCAAGCATACGAATACGCTTGTTAACCTCTTCTTCGCCCTGGGCGATGAGGTACTCCACGCCCTTAGGGCCAAGGATAGGGAGCAGCTTCTGCAACCCTTCCTGTTGTGTCTGTGACAGGCTAAACGCTGACATCTTGTCGATGTTCATTCTCACACATAGAAGTAGTCGCAAAACCAGGTACGGAATTGACTACAAGTGCGATCAAGTGTATCAGAGCTACTGTAGCCATGCTACTTACGCACTACGTGCAGAGGAAGACAAGCTTAGAGAGCTTATATGTCTTAAGGTTCTTAAACTTCCAAAGGCTAGCTTCACAAGTTTATGCCTTTTAATTGTAAGCAACCGTGTCTCCAAGAAACTTACTTTCAAAAATACAATTTCTTAAAAGGAATAGAAAGCTCAAGCAGTGATGCTTATAGAGTAGGTTTCAAAACGGATTTATATTTATGTTTATCTTCTAACACTAAATATAGAAGCACCTACTCTATACTTAGTGCTAATCACTATATACTGGCTCTATAGCCTATTATTATGCAAACATGCATAGTCACTAAATTTGACTAAGTATAGTTTCCACGTGCTCTCTCGATGCAGCCATTCGTACTTCAGGTACGGTCACATCACCTACCACTGTACCCAAGGTACAGCCACACCACATTGGTGTGGCAGGTGTGTATGTAAAATACACACCTTCGTGTAACCCGTTACAGTTATTGCCTCAAAAAACTGACGTTACACATTAGCGCGCACTAAGAACAGATTTTACGCGCACAGGACGATGAACGATCACAGGAGACGGTATAAATTCGCTGACCCGTTATTATCGTAACAATTTCAGCATCCATCAGAACTCGTTCAATTTGCTTGTTGGAAACTTCACACCTAATAAACGGATAAATCGTCAATTACTTTCACCAGCAACAGTCTTTTAAGAATGGTGATGAAGGCAGCGCAGGCTATGTTCGCAGTAATCAGTGTGTTACGCAGGATTTGCCAAGAATTACGTGCGACGGCTTCATTGTAACATTAGTCTTTTTCGCTGTTACAGGATGTTGTAAAGAGGACCAGCTTCCGTTCGCAAAGAAGTAAAGAAATAGTGGAGCTACAGTGTTAGTATTTGGAACTGTCGTTCGTTATCGTTTCTATACAAGTTCTACCTCCTTCTACATGTATGTGCTGTCGCCTCCAGTAGCAACCTACCTTTGGGACTTCTCAGCCGCTCCTTCCCATACTAGGGCTTCCCAGTCCGCTCCCTCCCATTCTGGGACTTTACATGCCGCTAACACCTTCGGCCGATAGCATGGGACAACCCTTTGAAGTCCACCGAGACAGGGTTGAGGTATCGCTTAAGTAAGCCTACGTAGAACACAGGATGTGCTCGCATCTTCTTCGGAATGTTGAGTGTATAGGCTAATTCCTTCTTGCTTATGACCTTGAATGATCCAATAAAGCGTGGACGCAGTTTGGTTCTATATACTGCAGAAACGGCACGAGTAGGTAAATTCCTAGCATTAAATAAAATTAAATCTACCACTTTGAATCTGTGTTCTTTTTTTTCTGCCTTTGACATCTGCTTGTTCCTTCTGAGCATCCTGGCTTTCAACCATAAGCGTCTTTGACGCGACTGTATACGTCAAAACGTGTTGACAGAAACGCTTTCACCTTTTTGCGCATAGCAACAGGGCTGTTATCAGCCAGGGCTTCGGATATTTCTCCCCCACTAAGCCCTGATGTGGCAGGGGGTAGCGTTAATGGAACGCGAGGGTTGACCAAACCATTCACACAGAATGGGGTGAAGCCTGTCGAGGCATGCATTGCAATGTTCAACGCAAAATCTACCAGAGGGAGCATCGTGCTCCATTGCTTGGGTGTTTCAGCACAAACACTACAAAGCATATCGCCAATAACGCGGGTGACGCGTTCAGTCTGACCATCGGTCTGCGGATGACACACCCTGGACATGTCCAGGCGAGTGCCAAGCACTTTAAAGACGGATGTCCAAAACTTACCCGTAAAACGGGGGTCTCTATCCGAACGATTGCCACAGGCAATCCGTTTTGTCTGTACACACGATCCATAAACAGCTTTGCTGTTACTTCTCCATCAATGGAGTCCGGCACTGCCGATTAATTAGCCATCTTGCTCAGTCAGTCAATAAAAACCACAATCGCAGTGTTGCCTGCCGCACCACGCTGTAGGCCAAACACAAAGTCCATACTAATGGACTGCCACAACCCAAAGAGAACAGAGAGATCATGGGTCAATGGGTCACCGGCCATCAACGACACTGATTGACGAAATGAGCTACCAATAGTTTCAGGTTGAGCGTCGCTTGGTTAGGTGGCGTCACCAGGGTCACACTCAATATCTGGTGAAGTAGAGGGGTTATTTCCAGTCGTACAACTCTTGGGATTATAAGGTACCCCTCCGGCAAGACTGCCCGGACGTCGTTGATGCTTTGACAAGATTTTCAGAAGCGACGACAGCTGTCGTCGGACGCTTCCTAGCACTGCTGTGGAAGCAAGGTCACGGCGTGAAAAAATCTGTTTGGGACGTGCCAAGGCGGCCACTTGGGCCTCGTCATCAATTTGACGACGCTGTGCAGCGTCAAGAGGGTTGGTTACCTCTTCGTCGGCACCCTCTCGCGAAGGAAGCGGTGGTGCTTGACGCAACGCAGTTGTTCCTCTTGGGGAAGTAGACACGGACCGCGATATACGTCCTTTGATCGGCGAGCGTGGTGAACGCGGGGTCCGATGATCCAAAGGAGACTCAGCGCCGATACCCCTGGAGGCAACGTCACTGTCATCGTCCCCAAAGATGTCACAAAAGACGCATTGCAGCATCCATGATGGATCAAGTGCCACACGGACAGTGCTTTAATAGCAAGTGTTGGGAACACTGTAATGCTTTAACGCAATTTTCAGGCACTTAATGCTTATAAGCAAGTGTTCTTAAACACTATTGGGTATTAATACCAAGTGCTAGGCACTTAACGCTTATAAGCAAGTGTTGTAACACTTAATGCTTTAGCGGGAGTACAATGCACTGTATGCTCAAGTATCAAGTGTCGTAACTCTGGGGTACTTAAATAGCGTGAATGCAAAGCACAGATGCTCAATGATCGTATGTCGTAACACAGAAGCTTATGACGCAAGTGCGAGGCACTTATTGCGAGGCAAGAAAAACGAGAAAAATTATGAATTTAACAGAACTCCACATATGTTCGAGAATCGTGGGTACGTCGGGTCTCACGGTAGGGGAGGGTGTAACGTGGTTACACGAAGGTGTGTATTTTACAACACACCTGCCACACCAATGTGGTGTGGCTGTACCTTGGGTACGGTGGTAGGTTCGATGTGACCGTAATTAAGGTACAAATGGCTGCATCGAGGCAGAGAGTCACGTGGTCACTATACTTAGTCAAATTTAGTGACTATGCATGTTTGCATAATAATAGGCTATAGAGCCAGTAAATAGTGACTAGCACTAAGTATAGAGTAGGTGCTTCTATATTTAGTGTTAGAAGATAAACATAAATATAAATCCGTTTTGAAACCTACTCTATAAGCATCACTGCTTGAGCTTTCTATTCCTTTTAAGGAATTGTATTTTTGAAAGTAAGTTTCTTGGAGACACGGTTGCTTACAATTAAAAGGCATAAACTTGTGAAGCTAGCCTTTGGAAGTTTAAGAACCTTAAGACATATAAGCTCTCTGAGCTTGTCTTCCTCTGCACGTAGTGCATAAGTAGCTTGGCTCCAGTAGCTCGTCTACATTTTGGACCCAACACATTCTCGATAGTTACGCTAAACGAGTCACACCCTGGTCGTATCTTTCCTGCTTTGGAACTACTACTAGCACGTGAACCTGCTGATACGATAGGAGGATCCATCCCGTTCAGCACGACCTCAAGTGGATCCTCTTCCTGTAGTTCTTGATCTTCCTTCGTTTGCGATTCATGGTAGCAGTTGTCTGACCCTCCTTCAGCTTCGTCACGTCTCCCGAACGAGGTGGCAGCCACTTGCCGTCCGTCGTTTTTGCGAGGATGAGCTGCAGCTCGTCTGCAGGGAACTGGTACACTTTCCTCGCTTTAATCGCCTTTTTCAAACCGTCTACTAAGTCAGCTTCGTCTACTCGCACCGAGAATACGCTTCCCGGCACACCGACAATTGCACAAGAAAGCTTTATCATCTTTCGTTGAATCTGCAATTCGTAAATGATAGGACTGGATCAAATTTGACATTTTACATAAAATTCAACCGTTTCTTTAATATCGTGTCGTTAATCGTTATCGGTTGCGCAATCCATTGTGCTTGTTTTTCTCAGCTGCATAGTTCTGCCTCTTTGTTTACTCAAAAGGGCTTCATGAAGGTTAGAAAGGCAAGAAGATGGCGGTCTTGTATATTCATTTTTCAACTTGTAACCTAACAGAAATGGTTTCAGTTATATCAAGGATTTAGAAATTCTAGTAATTAAAAGAAAACAAACATTTCTCTAGAATTAGAATGTAAATGCTGCTAAAACGAGTTTTAATGATTTTACTGCACTCAATAACAGTCCATTTTTCCCAATTTTTTTGCATATTGTCTGTCATCCGCTTTGCGTTTATGGTAAAAACAATGTATTTATTGCATTTAATGATTATAAGTTGTTATAATGTTGATTAGTCGTTTTAACCTTGGGTATTGAAGTAAAGAATCCAATATGATCGATAATCTGGGCACAGGTTGTTATTGTCTATTGTCCAGTGGCCATCAAGATATGCCAATATATGCGACCGGTTGTGATAATGTGCGGCATTATAGAGAATTCTCACATCCAACACTGCAGATGCATTAAAGGTCCTGAGCAACCAGTGCAGTATCTCAATGCGGTCGGTCATAATTGCGTTCAGTCCGGCGTGAATTGGCCACTCTTCAACGTTCTGGTGACAATTTGAGCAAAGCCATTCCAGCATTACTAAGTCACCTCTAGTGGATACCACGTCTAGTGCGCGTACTGTGCAGCCTTCTTGGCGATGAGCGTGCAAAAAGTGCATGACTTCCAGATGCCCGTTTTTGGCAGCGTCATCCATAGCGTCCGTAGTGCAGCCTTCGTGACGATTTTCGTGTAGCCACTGTACAATCTCTAAATGTCCATTTCCTGCGGCCCCATTCATTGCACGAATTGTGCATCCCTCTGTACGATTCGAGTGAAGGAATTGAACAATATTCAAGTGGCCGCATTCAGCTGCTCCATCCATTGCACTTGCTGAGCATCCCTCATTTCGCTGACTGTCTAGCCACCTTACCACTTCTATGTGACCGTTACGAGCGGCCATGTCCATTGCACGTCTTGAGCATCCATCGCTACGCTTTTGATGTAGCCACTTGACAATCTCTAGGTGATTGTTTGCAGCCGCACCATCCATTGCGGCGGCCGTGCACCCTTCGGAGCGATTAAAATGCAAGAATTGCACTATTTCCAAATATCCATGCGTTGCGGCAGCATCCATGGCGGCAACAGTGCAGCCTTCAGCTCGATTTTTGTGCAACCATTGAAGAATTTGCAAGTTTCCACGCTTTGCGACTTCGTTCATAGTAAGCCGCGAACACCCTTCCGCACGATTATCATGTAGCCATTGAACGACATCAAGGTGATTCTCTTGTGCTGCCCAGTTCATCGCGCTGTACGTACAACCTTCGCTCCGATGTTTGTGAAGGAACTGTACTACCTCCAAATGACCTCCCTTAGCAGCCATATTCATCGCTTGCTGCGTACATCCTTCTGTGCGATAATTGTGCAACCAGCGCACAACATCTAAGTGTCCGTTCCAAGCTGCTCGATTCATTGCTTCCACGGTGCACCCCTCTTTTCTATACTCATGCAGCCACTTTACCATTTTCAAGTGTCCATTACCAGCTGCTTTGCTCATTGCCTTTGTCGAAGCGCGACAACTGCTGCGATTGCGCTTAAGTTTCGCCTCCGCCCACTCGGCATGCAAAAACTCAACAATCTCTGAAAACCCTCCAGCTGCTGCTTCGTCCAGTGCTTGAGACTCAATTATCTCTGTAGAATATTTTCGAAGCCACTTAATCACATGCAAGTGTCCACCTCTTGCCGCAGCTTCATGTAAATGCGTTTCCGTCTGGACATGCTCGATTTCCATTCCTCGAGCTTCAAAAAGCCACTGCACCACCGCCAAATGCCCGTTTTCAGCTGCTAATGCCACACTTTTCAGTGTATAGAAATCATAATCTCGATAACAAGGCAACAAGTCGGCCAGTCTTGGTCGAATCCACCTCAAAATGTCCACATGTCCATTGGAAGCAGCCTCCGTCACCACTGCCTCGTCAATTACAGCGCTTGGGTACTGATCGTACAATATCTCCATGATATTTAGATGGTTATGTGCTGCTGCGTTTCGCATTGCCGAGCGAATTTGAGCAAGTGTATGGAGATTTCGAGTCGGTTGACACGATAAAAGATGCTGCACAAGATGGACAAAGCCTCGATTGGCGGCACGGGGAAGTGACCATTGCAAAGACGTGTCCAGACACTGTGACATCATCTCCTGGATATGAGGAAGCGCGTCGATATGGGGAAATGCCAGACAAAATACACGCACGGCAGCTAATAAGACCACCATATAACCAAAGCTGCACTAAACAACGGCTCAATTCTGATAATCAACACCTTTTTAGCCCATTTTTAATTTTTATTTTGGGCAAGTTGAATTTGGAATAAATGAAGTATTGGGTTGTTTGCTCGCTTGCACCTACTAAATATTATCGACTAATCGAATTTATATGCCAAGGTCATGCCAATGAGACATGAGTACTGACGTAAGTCAAGGCGAGTTTCGCGCATGGTAAATGTGTTTTACTTTGAACGTTGTCTACTGCAACATAAGGTGACCAGAACAAACGTTTGTTGTTGTCATGTATGTATGTATACAGTGATCGCTTTAGTTTAAAAAAGTATGTAAGTATCAACGCACAATACACTAGAAAGAACGACTAACGTAGCGGTATATCAATAAATTCCACAAAGAACACCAACGTGTTGCTTCATGTCTTCAAACAAAGTAGCAAAGAAAGTTACTACTACACGTTCTTGGATGCGCTCAGTTGTAGTGCGAGACGCGTACGAAGAGGAGACGGCTGCTGTAGACTGCTCTTTTCCTGCATGACGACAGGAATAGCTGAATGAGTTCACGCCAGAAGTACAATCATATTCCACCACACCTGCACGTTCAAAAGCGCTTTTGGCTTGACTGGACTGTTTTCCATGGCAAGATCGACTTCCATCTTTGGCCGCTTCATCGCCTGTTCCACCTAGAATATCAAATCAACACCGCGTCAACTAAGCCCGTTGCGACGTCAACTAAGCCCGTTGCGACGTCAAATAGTCTCATTGACGTACAATACTAATGGTTTCGATTGTCTGGCTCCTAACTTGGGACATCTTGGCACTTGTAATTGCAATCGAAGACGCCGTCTGCATCAGAAAGCACTCAAAAGAATCAGCACCAGTCACAACATCATAACCCCTCACTTTCATCTCAGCTCTACCTTGATATAAGCTGCCTTCAATGCCTCAATCTGTTCTTCAGTCAACTCCAATCCGACACCCTCCGTCAGTTTCAGCTCTCTACATGCAATTGCTTCAGTCTTTCACATTCCAATCCCCGATACTACATTCACCTATGTATACAAACGTACGTTACAAGCACATTTGCATGGCGTTTACGAGCCTTCATTAATTCGTCGCGTGCATTTGCTGCCGCCATCCTCGGTACTTGTTCCTGAAGCTTTTTGACAGCTTTTTGTTTTTCCTTCAATCTCGTCTCCATTTGCTTGAGTTTCATTGCTAATTCCTCATCCACTGGTGCCACCTCCTCTACCATAATAACAGTTCATCAGCAAGAATGAGAGAGAACTATGATTCGATACCACCACTTCAATCCTTCACCTTGATTTTCAGGGTTATCTTTCCGTAATGCCGCTGCAAAGACTGTTGCGCACAAATCATTCACATGCGCTCGAAAAATCTGCTGTTAAGCGTCTGATACTGATCCACATTCACGTAATGCTGCCACCATCATCTTTTCCCCACACACGCGCTGTGCTTCTTTTATCTCTAAATAAGAATATCGCACTGGTTTCGCCGTCGTTGGTATCATATCACGATTGTCATAAGTCATGGTTTTTTATTTTTATATTTTACAGAAAGAATAAATGACACAAAAGACGATACAAAAACCAAACGTAATATTGTGGTAAACCAAATGGCAACTTTAACGTCAGATGTATAACTTTTATTTCTTACCACGAAATTATATATTTCAGTCCTCAAATTGCGTCTCCACAACACGCAACACCTCGATATACAAACAGACAAACAAACAAACAGACAGACAAATCGAGACCCAGTATGAAGCATTTGGAACATAGTGATACGTCTCTTGCTACTTCTCTTGCTGCAGCAACTACTTCAACACTTGATCATTTCACGGCATCTTGTACTTCATTGTCACTTCATACGTCACAGATGAATGTATCCACCACATCAAATGATAATGGTGTTTTGCTACTAGGAAAACTCATGCGTCGAGATCGTCGTCTATTTACGTGGAAATGGCGTGATTTTGTACTTGAGCGCACACGTTTACAATACTTTAGTGAAAAAGGTAATCGTAAAGGTGATATCTCATTATCACCATCTACACCCATTACAATCCGTATGTGCAATGAGCCGAAACCATTTGGCTTCCTTCTCTTTATTAAAGACACTAAACTTACATTAGCAGCTGCAACGGAACGAGAGAGACATCAATGGATTGATATTTTCTGTGATGTTTTTCATGCTAGTGTTGAACAAACATTGGTTGATAACAAAGCAGAGCGTCGTTCGAGACCCACTTACTTGCCAATTCCGGACAGGGCCATTGAACACGATACCGGCAATTCCAACAACAACAACAATAGCAGCAGCAACAACAACAACCACTTGTTGTTACAGCACACAAGCTCGATAAATAGCGCTGAGAGTGGTGAGTTTGGCGATGCAGGTGGTCACACGACTCCTGTTATGGCGCACAATGTGCTGGACAATGAACACATGAAACGTGACTCGTTTGGAGAAGATATGATTCCGATTTTGGAGGCAAGAATGACGTACGGACCGTTGAAGGAAATGTACTCGCGTATCACGTTCCCACCCAGTTTGGCTAATGGTGACTTGCTGGTGGGCGTTGGACCGGTCGTACGTCGTGTAGGATGGACGGACGAACGTATTCTAGCTGTGGGCATGTACATTGACCCAGAAACGGCGACAAAGGAACTGGAAAAGTTTAGTGGTCGTGTCGCGAAAAGTTTATATGGAGACCAGCAGTTCTACAATCACCTGATCTTCAATACGACGTTCCGGCGCAGCTTTGTTGTTACTGCGCGGAAGCGCGTGTCCAAATCGGTGCTTACGGCACTGCTACGGGATGAGCTGACCCCGCGCATGGGACCTAATGCTACAGCAACTAGTACGTTCCTCGGTTTCATTGAGAAGTCGCTGAAAAAAGCCGAGTCCATGGTCATGCGGATACATGAGGACGATCGTTTTGAGTATCGATTGCGTGGTCAATTGTACCCGCCCATTGCATCGCATGCTCTTTGTAAGTGCATTCAAGCTCTCTTTTTCGACAGCAACTCTATTCAGCACGATGCGAAACGCGGTCTGATTGAAAGATTGCCATCGCTGTGGGGTGGTGAGGCTTTGGACGTTCAAGACGAAATTTTTGGCAGTCTTCATGAACGACTCCGAAGTATAGATAGTGAAGATGAGGAAGATTCCGGGTTTGATGACGACGATGAGGAGGAGGAGGACGACAGTGAGGCAGAGGACCTCTTTGGAAGTCCTAAGCTTGGTGATTGTAGAAATATTCATCAATCCCACAAAGATGCAGGACAGGACGAGAACAAACAGGAGAACATTGTTGGGTCAGGGACAGAGCACGGTGTTGTCAAGACAGGCAAAAATGGTCAATTTAAGAGAGATAGTGGTCTTAGTATGCTAAAGATTGACCGGAAACCCTCAACCAAGGACGAATGGGCTGAATACGATGACAACGAGCTTGAGATGCTACGCCGCCAGAGTCGCAGTCTCATGGTGCATTTTGGCCCCATGGTGGACCGGGACAGCAGCATAATGTTCAGCGGAGACTTAAATGTTGATGGTAGTGCACTACTAGGGACTTGGTCACATCAGTTTTTGATGCCTTCAGATGAAAATGATGCACTTAGCAATTCTCACCATTATCAATTCACGGTGGGGCTCTACGTGGATCCGGGTGCAATTAGCGAAAGTCTGCTAAAGTTCAAGGGTCTTTCGATCGGCAGCATTGTCCAGGATACAGACTACTTTCATCAATTTTCGAGGGGTAAGTTTCAAAAGCATCTTGTCTTCAAAGTGGACGCGACGATGAAGCTTCGCATCTTGCTGGAATATTTCGACATACGTTTCCGGTCCCTGGCCTCCTCTTTTGAAGATGCTACAAGACCTCTTGACAGTTTGGTGGAACTTTGGGACAACACATACCCGCACCACCAACAGCTTGAGCTGAACCCGAAGGACGAAGCTCGTTTTTTCATTTCTGCTGATGGAGCAGTGACTTTGTACGTGAAAAAGCGCGCGTCATTCAAGAATGGTAACAAGCATCAGAGCACTATGGTCATTTCTGATGCCTCCCCATTGTCTTCAAGCAAGGATACGGCTGACAGCATGGATGCTACTGCGCCACTATCTTCTGATACGAGTTCTTTTGGTGACAATGTTCAATCTCATGTAAACAAGAGTCATGGTATTATTTCTGAGATGGAGCTGACACTGCCTCCTCCACCGTTCCATTTGGCTTTGGAAAGTTTGATCTTCGGCTTTCACGCCATCGATCCATCGGCGCGGGCTCAGCTGATGGAGCGCGTACCCAACCTCTTAGATCTTGCGCCAGATGATCTTGTGCATACCTATCACGATGAGATCCAGGCGTTGCGTGAGAACTACAAACGCCAAAAGCCGGAGAACCGCGTGAAAGTGGGATATTTGTCCATATCGTTTGAAAAGCGCAAGTTGCAAAAAAATGCAGATAAAGGAGGCGCTAAGGAGGTTACTATGGTCCCGTCGCGCTGGTCTAAGCGCTGGTGCCGGCTAGATGGAACCTTATTCTCTTACTATTCTCACAAACGCTCTCGTAAATATCGGGACATGATGGAGCTTACGCGTTGCGAGGTTGTGGAGATTACGTCAAACAGCGGTCCTGATGTCGCGCGATTTGCGTGGGAGAAGGGTGAAAGTGATAGCATTCGTATTGCAATTATCAAACCAAACGGCGAAATCTTGGCGTTGCGTACAGAGACCATTTACGAAGGCGAAGAGTGGCTAGAATCCCTTACTGATGCGAGCAAGGTCCGTCGTCATGCTGGCGGTCCAGACAATTGGGCCACTTGGGACGCAAACTTTTCTCAGCTGCGACGCCAGAGTAGCAACCGCGACATGCTACCCCGCCGTGGCGGTAGGAGCGGTTCGTCAGCGAGTGCTATGAACAATGGGCGGCACGCGAGTGTTGGCGAACATGAGACAGCAGCGAGTCGCAAGGCCTATGGAGGTTCAGCTGCCGACAGGAATCTGGCATCGAGCATAACACACGAAGAGGATGGTAGCTGTTTGTACGACGAAGGTCGACGAATATGAGAGTGACCAAGATCTAGTCGAGAAAAACGGCTCGTTGCTTGCCTGGGTGCAGGAGGATCCTCGTCACGCCGTTATTACGTTCTTGCTGGTCCTCATTGTGTACCTTGCCTCAATGATGCATCGCAGTCAACCTGTGTTTGCTAGTAGCTTGGAGCTGCCTTGACCTAACGAAACAATACCAGTTGCCCAACGGGGGTACAAATGTCGTCAATTGCGAATTTCGTGATCGTACAGTAACGATAAAGAGAAAAGTAGCTCATCACGCGTAGTATTGTGGTTGGAAGTAAAGTGCTTGTTGCTGTGCATCTTTTGTATCATAGTGCATCGGACTTTCCCATAAAGCATCTTGACCTAGTGTCGGTACTTGTCGGATACTTTCATTCGTGTCACAAGCAAACACTCTTCTTTCCCACAAACTGCCTTTACTACTGGGACGCTCACTGATCTGTTGTTCTTCAGAAAACTGCTGATTATCCTGGCAAGACGACGGAGCTTTGTTTTCTATTTGTTGCTGTTGTTGTTGTTTCGTCTCGTAAAAGGCTTCAGATGACGTTAAAAAGTCAAAAGCATTAAAGCTCATGGGCACCTCTACGTCAAGCTGATTGTTCATTGGAACCTGTGTGTGCTGTTGCTGTTGTCGTTGTTCTTGGCGCCACTTGGCTGGAATCTTACGGGCACGCTCATCCTCGACGTTCAACGTTCCAGCATGCGTATCACACATTACACTTGGCTGCTGACTCTGACACAATTGACGATGACAAGCGCGATATTTCTCAATATCAATCGCCTTTTCATCAGGTTTTGGGCCGTCGGATGAGAAAAAGCGAAACATTGAAAAGGTTTGTGGCGTGTGATCAAATGGAATTTGAACAGGAAAAAGCCGATACACAAAAAACTCAAGAGACGGTAGAAGAAAAAGAGAAAGACTAGTTGATAACCGTGATCCTTGATGTTCTTAGAGCGCAATTCTCTTGCGTTGTAGAAAAAGCCCAAATTAGTTTTTCGTGCCGGGTGTCACATTCGAGACAATCGCAAATTTTGCACTAGGCTGATAAAGGAGAAACAGTCTTCTCAAGCACTACAGATTAATATTGAACACGTTAAGGCAAATTTACGCACACCACCGCCGTTTCAACGCGACAAAATGCATCCAGACGCTTGAAGACTTGATTCAATCTGATGATAGTTTTGACTGTTTAGTATTGTGTACTCATGATGTTTGGAAGTAAAAATAAACAACGACGACGTTGAGGAATCAGAGAAAGGGGTTGTCCAGCTGCTCCCGTTTGATGGACGAAATTTTGAAGGCTGGAGCATTTGAAGACTAAAAGGTGTCAACGGTTTGAGATTGATACTTGTCTTACTTATTTAGGAACTTGCGCTCGATCCTCGGAAACTACGATTCACATTCTTGAACGCTGGATTTTGTTCAGATCTCAAATCGATACAGACGCAGCTTTGTCAACGACATCAGAAAAAAACTATTGCAGCAGCATAGCAGATAACGCTCTGAACATCAGTCAACAACACCTTACGTTGGTATGTCGAGCGTGGCAGAGGCGTTATCAAAGAAGCATCTCTTCGATCTCAATGTCAGCAAGCCGCAGGCCCGAATCGGCCACCAAGTCGACATAAACGACAAGCAGTGTATTGTGGCCGGAGGCCATCGCATCACACGCGAGGGATCTGCTGCGCGTCGAAGCCAGAAACAACCTATTGTTCGCAATCTGTTCACGAACGTCTGCTCGGGAGTTGGGCTCAGTGAACACCAAAAGAAGCAAACATTGATCAAACAGCCATTGGACATGTCACAGATGAAGCCAAAAGCGACAGCAACTTCAAGTAGAACTATCGAGCTATGTAAGAGCATCTTGCCTCCATTATCTCCTAATGATGCCGACAAGAAGTGTTTAGTGCTTGACCTCGACGAAACGCTGGTTCACTCATCGTTCAAACCAACTATGAACCCCTCTACCTTGTAATTCCTGTCTACACTAATGGCATTACTCGTCGAGTGTATGTATGCAAGCGTCCAGGAGCTGAGGAATTTCTCATTAAAATGGCAAAATACTACGAGATTGTAGTGTACACTGCTAGTTTTAGCAAATACGCAGACCCGCTACTTGACAAGCTAGACCCAAAAGGTGTCATTCGCTATCGTCTCTATCGCGAACATTGCGTGCAGTTTGAAAACAGTTGCGTAAAGGATTTGTCTTTATTGAATCGTGATATTTCACAGACAATTATCATTGATAACGCGCCAATATCCTACGTCTTTCACCCTCACAATGCTGTCGGGTGTTCCAGCTTTATTGACAACCTGAGTGATTGCGAGTTAGAGTCTATTTCACGATTTCTCATCAAGTTTCACGATGTTAAGGATGTGCGTGAATACTTGCACATTTGGGACGCTAAATATTAACGGCGATATTTTGAATTCGAATGGGAACAATTTCAAAAGACTTATTATAAAGTGATAAAGAATACACAATATCTAAACGGTAATACAGAAAACTCTATTATAACGTGATGAAAAATACACGATATCTAAATGGTAATTTTGCTAAGTTTCGTAAACTTTAAAATAAACGCTGAAGAACTCATCACTGTATCGTTAGAGATCCCTATTTTCCACTTTTTTGCTATTCTGAAAAAAGCAAATCTTATAGCGTTAAGTAGTCAAAGCAAATCTCAAGTGTAGACAATGGCTTCAAATTTTGCAGAGCGCTAATCGAATTCACAAAAGACCTCTTCCAGTCCATTCAGCTGTATTCAAGGCACCAACTGTAGGAACGCATAAGCCCAATGATGCGGGAGATGCATTGCGCTGACCAAGTAACCTGTTGAAGTTTAGAGAGACCGAGTTTGACGACGAGACAACGTAGTGCCGTTGCGTTGCATCAGGTTTCGCGCATTCGCTTTCTAAGCTTATGCTTGAGGCAAAAGAAGTGGATGCTCATTTGTAGGGGCTTGTCCGTGATCTCTTGTGGAGCAGAAATATCCACACCGTTGCATCTTCTGTCTGAATCTGAGGTGTCCATGCATTGTCGGTTTGGTCACGTTTCCTGGCGATGGATAACAAGGCGTTGTTTGGGTATTTATACGGACGGATACACCTTGCAGAGTCATTTAAAGCGTTTTCTGGAAACGCACAAGCTTGAACGAGCTGTGCTGCTTCATACTCTCTGGCTGCTCAACGTACCCAAGAGCTCGATACAGATGCTGAGCAGCTTCCATGACTTCAATGGTGTCAAGACAAATCTCGTTAAAAGCACCACATGATATGGCAAAATCCTCAACGGCTCGCACCAAAGCCGAAGCCACACCACAGCGTCGAAATGCAGGAGCAACACATAGTCGACAGAGTTCTGCACTGTGCCTCTCTTCTTCATGGTTTACCTGATGACTTGATATCGTCAGAGGCTTCAAGCCAGCGCACCCCACGACCACGCCGCCTACTTCAGCTACCCAAAAGCCACTTGCTAGAATGCCAGCACTATTGGGTGTTTGAAAAGCTTGGTATACGTCAAACATGTCTCCACTAGGGCCACGAAGACGATTCGCAACGAACTGACACACAGCACGTGATCTCTTCGGCAAATCAAGGTGAGTACTTTCAAAGAGTGAGCGCACAGTAACCAAGTCATCGCGCTGAAATGATCGAATGATTACCGTTTCGGACAACCCCTCCCGTTGTGGCGTAACGCATCCCGTCAGGAGGTATCTATGCTGTTGTACGCGGGGCACAAAACAACTGGTCCACTCTAACCCGTCCTTATCTTGGTTCTTGCAATTACCTGCAAGGTAGATCGCGTAATGGGCGTTGCACATCGTCCAATCGGCATACTCATCAAAAGGTTCCAACAATGCTAACCTGTGTTTCTCCTCCGCAGTCGTGCAAGCCGCAAACACTCCGTTCATGTCAAGAATGCAGCATTTTTTCCAATATGCACATGCTAATAGACGACGGCAGTGATCAGCTGCTGTCTGGTATCCTTGCACACCACGAAGCGTACATCCTTTCACGGCAAAGTATCGCTGAAGTGTCGAGCTAAAAGCATCAGACTGTCTCTTAGGTCGCGTGCTTGCAGAGACTGCTTTCTCGCTGTCGTCATCCTCGCTTGTTTGAAGTCTGATCGGGTCATACAGCGCAATGGAGCCGCTTGAAAAAGCCTCACCAAGCCACTGAAGCAGCATTGTACCCTTTTCTGGTGCCAAATACGACTGCCATACAACATATTAAGGCAAAGTCGTTTTTTTGCGATTGACCACAACTTTGCCATTACGTACCAGAAGACACTCACCAAGCATCAACGTCGGCAGACTTCGGTCGGCACCAGCAGTATTCAGCGCAGCATTCAACCTTTGGATATCTCCCAGATCGCAAGCAATGAGCGAATACGAACCAGACGGCACTCGACATTGCCATGCTATCTCGCAATCAGCAGAAGAAGATGTAACAATTAAGTTGTCCATATCTTTCGGGAATAGACCTGCTTGTACGTCTGAGTCGTTCAACAGCTTTGTCTTAGCACTCACAATAGCGTCACAGTCAACCTCTGTGAAGTAGAGGGTTCCTAAAAATTTCCGCTGGTCTACTAGACGAAAGAATAGCGTGTCAAAGCCAGCTCCCAACGATACGATGTTCACTCGAGGCGATGCTACATCTACAGTCATCAACACCATCCAAACGTCATCCAAACCGTAGTGTAAACAACTGACCATGCTGAAACTGCCTACACTGCGAAAGAAAAAGATCAACGCAGCGGGTAACACCTAAGTGCCGCAGATAGTAACCACGATGGACCTGCGATGACAGACATCAAATTAGAGTCGCAGAAGCTGCTAACTACATCTAGAACTCTAGATATATTCCTTTATAAAGTACCAGAGGGATGCGCCGTGTAGGCTTATGTACGAAAAAGCGCAGGAATGGGTCCTGGAAGTAGCCAAGCGTCACTGCGGAGCTGTAGGCGTGATCACAACGAGGAATGATACATTGTCTTTAGCAATTGCTATTGATCGCTATACCGAGTTTCTCACTCTGTATAGGTGCTAGAACACAAGATAAGCTTTTGTAGCCTCTTACAGTTTACATTTGACAGCATCAAAGGCCGTCTCCGTGACGTTATGATCGCTTGTGTTGCGCCATTCGGAGGTTATTGGTGACGACGCCATGGAGCAAATACAATTCCACAGTTTAGTGGACCACGATAAAATGACAGAATTGTGTGCTCAGTACAATCCTGTATAAAATAACAAACTCAAATAAGCGTCGCAGAATCGACTTGGAGTATTTCAAATAAGCCATTAATATTTACTGTTCACTTTATGTTAAGAAGACCAAAGTATAAAGCCAAGTACATGCGGAAGTGACTGAAAACAGGCAATGCTCTTCATTTGAAGCTAAAGACTGCAGACAAACATAGAATTTTAATGACAACACATACTAACTCAAGACATATCTCGCGGCACTTCATTCGATATCTCTTTTTTTAACGCTGCTGCTTTTGTCCGTAATTTTCCATTGCAATAGCTAGACTCCTCAGCCCCTCTGTGGCCGAGCTACTGTAGCCACGCTACCATGCACTATGTGCAGAGGATGTAGCCAAGCTACTGTGCAGAGGATGTAGCCAAGCTACTGTAGCAAAGCTACTTATGCACTGTGTGCAGAGGAAGACAAGCTCAGAGAGCTTCTACGTCTTAGGGTGCTTAACCCTCCTAGGCTAGCTCGCGAGCTTGTGCCTTTGGTTGCAAGCAGCCGTGTCTCCAAGGGACTTACTATCAAAGATACAATTCCTTAAAAGGAATAGAACGCTCAAGCACTTAAGCTGTTCAGAGCAGGTTTCAAAACGGATTTATATTTATGTTTATCTTCTAGCACTAAATATAGAAGCACCTACTCTATACTTAGTGCTAGTCACTATTTACTGGCTCTATAGCCTATTATTATGCAAACATGCATAGTCACTATACTTAGCTAAGTATAGTGACCACGTGGCTCTATGCCACGATGCGACCCTTCGTACTTCAGGTACGGTCATATCAAGCTTACTCCTGTACCCAAGGTACAGCCACACCACATTGGTGTGGCAGGTGTGTATGTAAAATACACACCTTCGTGTAACCCCGTTACATCGTTATTCTCAAAGACAACATCCACAAATGGTGACTTCACCACAACCTCTCAGAGTCAGTACCTCGTCATCACTGTCACTTGGACCATCGTCCTGACATTTTAATTTATAGCCGTACGCACGTGTAGTGATTTATAATACTCTCATGATGTGTCATCTAATGGCTTTTCAACCATACTACCAACAACCGCGGGTCGCGCCAGTAGGCATAATCATTGTACACGGATGGAAATATCTAAGCACTAAACTGAAATTATACGCAGCATACGCGTATTTGTTGTAATGTGGCACTCGCAGTATGTTATACATTCTCAGCAAATAAATGGTGTGGCGCTGGCTCACCTTACCAGGTAAGTTTCTGCTGCCGCAGTATAGCAAAAAATGACAACAGCATGGTACGTGTAACGGGATGCTACGCGCAGTGCTAGCAACGGAGGGAGCAGCTGAAGAGGGTTATGAACAAGAAGGAGCAAAGCAGCATGGAGATTGAGCTTTGAGGCAGCATCCAACGTCATTAAGCTTGCGTGCCAGTAGTTCAGGCTGGGAGGATACCTGTTTGGCGACTGGAAGGTCGTGCACAATGGCAGTGGCGATCGCGAGCGCGAAGAGGGTGTAACGGGGTTACACAAAGGTGTGTATTTTACATACACACCTGCCACACCAATGTGGTGTGGCTGTACCTTGGGTACAGGAGTAAGCTTGATATGACCGTAACTGAAGTACAAAGGGTCGCATCCTTTTTGGCAGAGAGCCACGTGGTCACTATACTTAGCTAAGTATAGTGACTATGCATGTTTGCATAATAATAGGCTATAGAGCCAGTAAATAGTGACTAGCACTAAGTATAGAGTAGGTGCTTCTATATTTAGTGCTAGAAGATAAACATAAATATAAATCCGTTTTGAAACCTGCTCTGAACAGCTTAGGTGCTTGAGCGTTCTATTCCTTATTAAGGAATTGTATCTTTGATAGTAAGTCCCTTAGAGACACGGCTGCTTGCAACCAAAGGCACAAGCTCGCGAGCTAGCCTAGGAGGGTTAAGCACCCTAAGACGTAGAAGCTCTCTGAGCTTGTCTTCCTCTGCACACAGTGCATAAGTAGCTTTGCTACAGTAGCTTGGCTACATCCTCTGCACAGTAGCTTGGCATCTCTGACATAGGCATGGGCTGGCTACAGTAGCTTTACTACACCTGGTAACACTTGTCGTCAATCCCGCTCCTGGTTCTGCGACTGCTTCTCTGTGTGAGAATTGACATCGATGAGATGACGGCGGTTGCCCTGTCACAGGCACAACAGGAAGGGTTGCAGAAGTTGTTCTCTATCCTTGGCCCTAAGGGCGTGAAGTACCTCATCGCCCAGGGCGAAGAAGAGATTAACAAGCGTATTCATATGCTTGATAAATATAACAACGCTCTAGTCGAGCATGTAAAGGCAGAAATGCCTTCTTCTGCGTGGCGACTATGGCGCAAGAAGTGGTCCGCAGACCAAAACCCATACAAATGGAAGTAGATAAGTTCGACGGCAAAGAAGGTGATAACCTTATGCTTTGGTTCCGACAGGTTGAGTCGGCTATGTCTATAGCCGACATCACCTATGAACCGTACCGTGTGGGCTTTGCCACGGGCAAGTTGGGTGGTTAAGCCAAACAGTGGACATTCACATGTGGTGCAGCACAGCAAGATTCATTCCCAACATGGGCCGATCTGAAAGTTCAGATGACCCGGCAGTATGCATCGCCAAACCAAGCACACTGAACTTGGTCGCGGTTTTTGGCGTGTCGCCAAGGCAAGCGTGAGCTTGCGGCATATGTACAAGAGTTGAGAACTCTCATTGCTGCCATGGTCATAGATCTTATGCCTGAGGCAGTGACCGTCACGGTCTTTATGCAGTGCCTCCAAGTTGGCGTTGCCAGAACGGAAGTCTTCCGGGTAAACGCGTCCTCATTCGAGATAGCTGTTGGAGTGGCGGATAGAATGCCGAGACCAACTTCAAGGCCGCTAGGCCTGCCACTTATACCTACTCGTCTGATGGGTCTATTCCCATGGACTGTAGTCAAGAGGAAGATGATGAAGCTGAGATTCATGCTGCGGAGCAGCAAATTGTGCGCAGATGTTATATCTGCAAGAGCACAGGCCATTGGATGGCAAAATGATCTGCAAGAAAGTCATATTTGGCCTGAAAGGGCCGACGCCCCATGGGTAAACCTCTAGTTTGCCGCGGGGAAACGGCGGAACCCAGTAGGCGCGGGGTGCCCTACTGGGGAAGAACTGAGTTCTGTTGAACCTCTAGGAGGGTAGAAGTAACAGGCCCCAGCCCCAAAGAGACCCGAAATCTCAAAAACGGAACGAGAATGCAAGCCAGGATTGCTAGTCGTCGAATGGATGATTATGGGCGTTGATAAGCCATGAATCATTTTGATCGATTCGGGGGCATCGGGCAATTATGTGCGCCGTGCCACCGTGGAAGGTAGTCAGCAGTATGCTGAAGCGCTTGTAGCGCGTGAAAGTGACACAGCCATGACTCGCTTAGCAACGGGTACGCGTGTTACGGTACTCAAAGTCCCGATGGACTTAAATGTAAAGTTCTTGGACTTTAACAGCATGGAACGCGGTTTGGTCTTAGACCCGGATGCGAGGTATGATCTCATCCTAGGCATGGCATGGCTAGAACGTCATGAGCCATGGATTGATTGGAGGTCGAAGACCTTAGGCGCAACGCGCAATGCTCCTGGTAGGGCTCTGGAAAGTCATGAACCATCTCTGCTAGGAAGCAAAAGCGCTTTTGGCGCAGATATTGGACCGAGTCGGTCAATAAGTTGGATGTCGGAATCTCCGACTTTGTAGACACTGTAAGTATCGAGGACAATAGTCCTGGACGAGGCCCAATGACTGTCGATAGTGTGGTTGAGAACCCACTAGATGGCACATATGACATGTGTCATGAGAATGATGTTACATCATTAAACACCGTGAGTGGTGTTGGTGGCTGCAAGCCAAGATGTCAGGACACGAGTCCGAGTGACATGGGTGACGAGTAACTGACCCTGGAGGGCCGGGTGAAGTCACAAATGGATGTTGCCTTTGAGGACAATGAGGTGCATGCACCTAACGACGAGGTACTGACCCAAGAGGGTCGGGTGAAGTCACAAATGGATGTTATCTTTGAGGATAACGAGGTGCCAGCACTTAGTGACGAGGTACTGGCCCAAGAGGGTCGGGTGAAGTCAAAAATGACAGTTGTCTTTGAGGACAAGAGGTGCGAGCACCTCATGACGAGACATTGACCCAAGAGGGCGGGTGTAGTCAGTAAACGAGGTGGTCTTTGACCTTGAGGTGTGCACACTTGTGGACGATGATGCGTCGGATGCTGAGAGCATCATGAGTAGAGATGATGATATCGTGAGTGACGGTGATAGCGAACAGCTGTATACACTCGTCAATGGTTTGAATAGGGATGTTGAAGAGCCGGTGGCTCTTTCAGCTATACCCGCAGTAAGCGTTCTGTTAGATCTGGACGAGTTGTCCTGCCGAGTTTGGCATTGCCTTACAGGCAGACGAAAATCGCCGAAGTGGTCGTTATAAGACCTGAGGAGGAGTTAAACTCCTCATCGCTTTTGGCTAAGTCAGTTCTTGCGAATACCAAGAAGGCGCTGAATGCGCGTAGTGGATTGCAGGAGAATAGCTACTAAATAAAATTTTGCATCAAAACCTTTTCTAGCATCATAATAAGGATTAAACAAGATTCTGAAGGACCCTTCGGATCCTTACTTTCCTTTGTTGAAGGAATATGGAGATTTGTATTCAGAGAAACTCCTACGAGGTTACCTTCGGATAGAGGTGTACGTCATGAAATTGACTTTGTTCCAGGAACCAAATACTGTGTGACGCGACAGTGGCCGCTGCCACGAGAAAAATGTGACTTCATTGACGAGTTCTTCGTGCAAATCACGCGGCTGGCATGGTGCGTGGGAGTAAGTCTCCTCACTCTACGCCCACGTTTTGTGTGAGGAAGCCAAATGGGAAGTAACGAATAGTGCATGCT